ACGGCCAGTCTTACACTGCAAAACACCAAATAGGTTTCACTTACAACAAAAACAAGAAGATCAACGAAGCCCATAGACATGCGTAATACCAAAGGAGCTACAAAAATGTTGTCATTTATCGTTGTAACTGTTATTGAAAACAAAGATAACTCGATTGATTCACCTTTAAACAGAATAAAATAGATAGCTGTAATTAATTATTTGGGAAGCCCCTAATGAATAAATATAAAAATCAAAACAATAATGTTTCATCGTATATCAATTCCTTAACTTTAATATTCATATTTCCAAGAAAAATCGTTCAGACGCGTCGTCGCATATTTTATAAAGATATTAAAGATGGCGGTAGACCACCCAATAAACCGACGAACTTACAAATGAGTAAAAAAATAAATTTAAAAGGCATCTCTGGAAGTTGGTACTAAACACAGAAAATATCTATAGACTCGTAACCTTATCTAAAAAGGAAATAAAACAAGACAATCTTTTTGTCAAAACGTCGTGCCTACTGTGTAAGCTATGTTGTCCAAAACATGGGACATACTGTCGCGAAAGCTGGGTGGCGTCCACAGCTGTTGAATAAGCTGTGAACATTTTTGTGTAACACGACACCAAACAAACGATCCGATTTCATTTGGCGAAAGAAATTTCGACAATGACACGCACCGCGCCCAAAATAGCCAACGAAAAGAAACAAAAATTTGCATTCCAATATTTGTAACTGAAGTACATGCAAGTATGCATAGGCGTCTTGTTAACCATAATCGAAACAGCTTAGTCGAAAAATTGAATCTATCTAAGAGCATTTTGACTAACAAGAGAAGTACCGCCAGCGTTCTCTTCTGTGTTCAATTGCTACATAATAAAATTTGAGTGTCTGTAATATCAAAAGATTAACTCCAGATTTCGGGAAAATGATGTATTTGCGTTGCTGATAACGTAAATCGCATTTTAAAATGTTTTGTCTGACTGACTGCCCGCAAACCGACGTTTGTTGCGGGTGATCTCTGAAATGGCTGGACCGATTTCGACTGCACCATCACTAAGGGTAGCTGACATGGGCGGGCATATTTTAGGCTACGTTTTTATCTTTATACTAGCTGTTTCTAAGCAACTTCATCCGCATAAAATTATTAAAAAAATCATTTTATTGTTTACATTTGTCTAATTATTAATTGCAAATGTCAAAATAACATGACATACTGTCAAACCATGGAAGCCTAACTTCCTTGATGTTGGCAACAACTTATAGTCTCTTTCGCACATTAGAGTTTTTATCCAAAATATTTACCCCCTAAGTTTAATGGCGTGCAAATATATATCCTAAAGCGTGACGTAAGTGTAGGGCTTTTTATTAAAAAAAGAGTTATTCAAAAATATACTGTGATTGCTGACATCTTAGGCAGCAAAGAAGTATGTGTTTACGCTTTATTATATTAAGTATGGATATAGATTGCTTGGATGAAGTCACGGACAACAGCTAGTAGAAAATAACTTGGCTTCCAAATCATTAATTTGGAGACACGGATAATTTGTTAAGCGAACCCAGGACCGGCGAAATCATGTATTACAATGTCTATCGAATAATAAATAGATCATAGACTTCGTAAGGATGCTAATAGACGACGTGTGTTGTAAGAGCATTGCAGTGCGTGCAACTATTTAACCGAAACGTTGAATATTCAGCGGGTTTTTTTTCTGATTTAATATTCAAACGGTCGCTTACTCTACGCTTCAAGGTTAAGGATTTTTTTAATGTAATTAATAATAATTATATATCACGCCAATTAAAAAAATCAGCCGAGACGAGTAAAACATGATTTGGAAAATGTTGAAAATACATTTTTATATGTAACGAATCAACTCAAAAACTACGGAACGATTTTAATAATTTTTTCATTCATTTTTATTTTAAAACTATGAAGGAATTAAGCCTATAGAGTCTACCAGTTAATATAATTAAGAATGAGAACATTTGATTTTGTATAAAATTACCTTACTAAAATCGATCCTAAAAAAATTTATTAGAAACCAGTTAATGAGTCTTGGCAGTAAGACTGCTTCAGAATTTTTAACAGTATTATTTTTAACTTTGTACTATACTGCTACTTAAAATATACAACGTAATTATAAAATGTTATGATGTACGTTATCCATTCAGTTTTCTACTTGATACATTCGTAAGTAACTTCATTTTCCATAATGACGTAGTTAGCTCATGTCGTAATGGATTGAGAACACAGACGCCAACGACGACGAACTCCTACGCCTCATTAATTGACAGATTCTTACTAGGAAGAGACAAATTGGTTTTTTTTTTTAATATATAAGCACCTAATTTAATGTAAAAAATACAATTCAATCAATTAAACCTCTAAATAAAATAAAACTGCAGTACAGTTTAAGGTTTGACATTTATTTTTAATTTGAAGTGCGAAAGTTTTTAAAGAGGTTTTTTTTTTATTTATTTAAAAGTTGAATAATAAAAAAATTAAGTTTTTATTAATTAAAAAAAAACGCCCAATAGCTATAAAGAAACTACAAAGCAAACTATCCATCGATTTATTTTAATTTATTTATATGACATACTTTGCTATAATATATTTCTAGTTATTTTTTAACCGTACGTTTTTTTATAGTACAACAATATTGTGATACATTTTCTTTTATAGACATCGACGGCGTCGTTTTGTCGCGATCACAAGACGTCTATTGCGTAGTCGCTGAATGGCGTGGGGTTTGTACGCAATATCTCTCCCCTAACCCACCCTAATACATACATACTTGATTACGAATATGGATTAAGCTTTGCGTACTTAAAACTATATCTATATATAACTTCTCAATCTCATCAATTGGATCTCAACGAGACACAATCATTATATGGGCTTTCATTTGGAAGCATTTCGTGGAAACATTTTGCACGTTTTGATATCTCTAAAGTCTAATCCATTGTGATTATGATCCGAAAAAAAACAATCAACCTAATTTAACAAACATTTCTTTTGTTTTTCTATTACCCATAGATAATAGAAAGCGGTCACAAATGTTGCCATATTAACATTAGCACCTGCTCATAGATAGCGAGAAGAGCCACTGTATATCATTTTAATGCCCGCACTAAAGTTCATGGTACATAGTTCCGACGTTATATTACGATAAAAAATACTAATCGCACGTTTTCTTACTATCACGTTAGCGAGCCACCTAGTAGCCTAATGAATTAAAATTCCTAGGTTATTGCCCGACTGACGGGAGGGTAATATTACGACTGGACTGATTTAAAAGTGTTAGAAATCATTTGATTTGTTTTGTAGTGGAGTATACTTCTATGTTCTACTACTACCTACTAGAGTATAGTATTATCTGTGGTACTAGTTTTCTACATATATCGAAATCAAATATAGGTAAAATATCGTAGAGCATACTTAATAGCTTCTTTTAAACTAACCAGGGTGACTCAACGAATTTCCCGTTCCCACGCCGTCTTGACCCAGGAGGTGGAGCTCCCAAAGATCTTCGTCCACCTCATCTATCCGACGATACCTGGGAGCGTAGACCACTGGGATATCCCAAGTAAGCACGATTAACACTCCGAATTTCATTCGGTTTAATCCCGTTGGGCCGATCGAATCCAATCGATCGATCCATTGGGAAAAAATCCTATAGGCCTGATTGATCGCCCAACGTAAAATACTCTTATCATTCTTTCTACAACAAGTGGGCGAGCCAACGTCTATCTGCTAGTCCTTTAAATTAAACTAGACCAAAATGCATGCGATTTATGTCATCTTTTTGGAAAATAGTTTTACCGTATTTTTTAATTCACTAAATGTTAGTAAAAAGTAGTACGCGTCGTATGTCGTAAACGAAAAGTACTCGTAGGCAATAAACAAAAAAAAGGAATCAATGCTTTTTATCAAAACGTACGTGTTTTTCGACTTCCAATAAACTTAATGAATTGATATTTTAAATACCACTTGTTTTCTTATTTTACATTGACAACATAAATTGCTTTCGGAATTTATGAGATAAAAATAACTCGCATTTTATAAGTAGGTATAATAACTGGAAATATAATTACTTTATGTATTGTTTGTCAAATAAACTACGAAAATTTTAGTTAAATTAGTAGGAAATTTGGCAAAATCCAATCAAGTCAGTTAATTAAGATTCTACAGAACATACGATATGTATTACAACAACGTAAGAATAACAGAAACAGACATTGTAGTGCGTCACGATTATCCTAAAGAGCCTTCAATGAACGTTTAAGAAAGGTCAGGTGGTGTAAAACAGTTATTGATACACGCGAGTTGTGAACTTTAATGTGAACGATCCAACCGTAAACTTTGCTAGAAGTAGTAGCTAGTGCTACGCTTCATCGGTTTAATTTACTTGTAATAATCTAATTTTTATGTTCAGTATTAACCACAATTATATCCACCTACTGCTCACTTCTATTTGACTAAAGTGTCCTGAACCAATCCCAATAGAAGTTTAAAAATAAACGCTAATTTACATAAAATGAAGGATCTTGTATTATTTTATTTCTAATTAACTTCATTAAGACTGAAGCTATAGTAAAATCTTAATGAAAAAAACATAAATTCATTTCCTAAAACACGCGATTCCAATGTAACTACGAACACAAGAAATGACTGAATAATTTATATTTTCCACTAGCATGGCTTTTTATATTTTATGCTTTGGATTGATTTGTGTCTGGCCACTTATAAACTCGGCGCAAATTGCGATGGAAAAATAATAAACAAAGATTGTGGAACATTTTTTAAGAAGAATTATTGTTACTGAACAACAGACGCTTCATTCATTAAAAATAATCAGCACATAATTTTTATTTATAAAACGTGTTATAATAACATTTTTAACAGATAATTAACGATAATATATTTGGTACAACATCAGTATTAAAAAAATAGACCGTTAAACTTAAAGTTGTCTAGTAAATATAAAATAAAAACAAATCGTAAACTTACCCAAAAGCTTTCGACGTAGTGTGAAAAAAGGAAAACACCCGGAAGAGACATGATTACCAAATTAAGTTCACAGCGAGAATGAATAAATGTTCAACACTCGCTTTTTATTTATACACTTATTGTTTACTAACATCACATAGAAATTCCTTTATAAAGTCCGATAGGGAACTCGCCGGCGCGGACACGCGCGCGCTTGAAGTCCCCAGCGGTAGAGAAACGACTGGCGACTGAACGCGGCCCGCGATCGCAGCCCCTATATACCAATACTGCTTTACTTTAGCCTGAACGCTTCATTTCACGCTCTACATCCACGGATTAATAGCTATGCATCTCGAATACCAGTCGACCACCAGGGTGCATCGTATCTTGGCTAGTCACCCAATTCTGCCAACATGAAGTGTCAAAATTGAATACAAACCATGGCGTCAGAATTGATTAACATTTTACTAATCAACTATTTTGCCTTTCACATCACACTTTATAAAGGCAAACATAGGTTTTTATCTAACTTATTAGTACTATGTGACAAGGTAATAGAGCCATTGATATCTAAGACATATCTCAATAGTTACAATTGACCTATTGAATAGCCGATAAGGGCTTCGGTTAGCGAATCAAATAAACTGGTTCAAGGACGTTCCACTGATAATGTCAGATGCGTCATACAACTAAAGAAGATAATCGACTCCCGATATATGTAACTTCGAGATACACAATACAATTACCTTAAAATAAATGGATTGATTACGTGTAAGATGATAATGTAGAATGGGTAAAGACTAGAACATGATAAACAATTTATCGAGACATGGACTTGATGACATTAGCGCTGATTAGAAGCGAATCTTTTAAATAATATTTGATGTTTTTACTTACCAGTTTATGCGCCAGTTTTCACATTATCACGTAAGACTGCTTTGAATGAATCTTCTTGAACATTACGATTGTCTTGAGAATTAAATTCTTAACATGTAGGTATTTTCGTTTTTGCTCGTTGCCACTGTAAAATAAAAGATGCGTATAAAATATATCGCTAATCTGTACAATACCAATGGCGTTTGTGCAATTTCACAACGTACATCAAATCACAACAGATATAATGTCATTAAACTCAAAAAGAAAATAACATAATAACAGTGTCTAGAAAAATATTAACTCACACAATAAATAAACGTTGTTAAGTACTCGCAATAAAAATATAAGCTGATAACAAACTAATGTGACATAACGTGATATTAATAAAACGTTAAATTATTATTTTATGTTAATTTATAAATTATATTTTTATAATAAGGAAGTTAATTTTATTAATTAGTTAGACAGTTGTCATTCACATTGTACAAAAAGATATTGTCATCCCTTTCGTACTAATAAAAAAAATTGGGACAACAATATGTTTTTATTCAAGCATTACGACCATGCGAACTCACGGTCAGTGCGTAAAAGTACTTCTAAATAAATGTCTCGTCAATGAATAGTACATTAAGTAGAGATAAAAAACGTTTTAGAGAAATCTTTAATATACAACAAACTTGTTCTTTGTTTTATTCTTACCCATGGTAACATTGATAATAAATTAATCACTGTGTTTTGTGATGGCAAGTATTTTGCGTGTAATGTAATGTAATGTACGTAAACATGGATCGAACAAATTGTATTTCGAAATTAGCTTAAAAAACTTTATTTGACAGATCATATTTTTTTATTTACAATTATAGTTAATTATTAAAATTCACATTTTAAGGTTATAAAATTTCTATGAAGTGAAGTAGGAAGTTCATTGCAATTCGTAAATCGTCATAGCATCCAATGTAGACAGCTCTAACATTGTATTGATCGACGACATAGGCTAGACAGGGCGACAGTCGGGATAAGAAATTGAGTTAATAGATTTAAAATCTTCAATAGATTACTCTTCTAACATACATCCTATAAAAAAATTAAAACATTTTCATTAAAGTTGAATGACCTAAGCGTTAACATAAGCATAGATTTTTACATTTGTAATGAAACTGATAATACGATCATGAGTGTCGTGAGGAGCAGGATACGGGCTACAGTATCGAAAATTTTGTAAAAGACGTATGAATTACGTCAAATAAGACCATATTAATGGTAGCCGCCTCCTCCTAGATGTAAATCGGCTGGCGAAGCATAAGGATATGATAATAATAATTTTTAATCTATACATAACTTTAGTATCCAATAAATTTCGCAGCAATTACTTAAAATGTACAAAATGATGTTCTTTTCTCAATTTCAATATATTATAATTAAATTTTTCAAGCATTGGCGTATCCCTTATGGTTTATTGGATGTTAAGACTAAAAGTTTCAATTTCAAGAAAACAACAATTTAACGGATTTCTCATCACTATTATTCATCTGAACAAAACGTGATATGTCTGTCATTATTTATTGTTTTGTTATATTTTCTTGCCGGATTTTGTAGTTCAATGACCTAGGTCTTAGATAACAAGTAATCCTATGCGACATCGTATTCACAAACGTTTCGTGTGATATAATATGGTACGTCATATTCTTTGCAGGTACATTAAGTCCGAATTATCATAGAATATTTTAAGCATTAAGCGACAATTAACACCGATCGTCTTTCAGCGCCCCTTTTTATCGTCATCTGAAGATTCATTTTATTTTTAACTAAAAAACGACAGATCTGACATAAGGTGTAACCGTGCGTAGATAACCTGAAAGATCCCAAAAATAAAAATAAAACCATCCGAAAATTTTCCATCTTCCGTTATCTAGTCCTTTATTAAATAAAAGCCAACAAAATTCGAAGTAAACACCGTCGAACGTGTATCATGTAACGAGGTGTAAGTAACGTACAAATCCTCGAACTTGAACCTTAAGGACGCTTGGTAGCTGCGTAAAGACGCGCTATGCTAGAACAATTGTAATTTTATATTTTTATAGCCCAAATGGAACCAAAATTTAATTCAATCAAACTCATTAATTTACTTATTTAAGTGTATTAAAATGCTTTTCAATTTATCGACTTATCGAAAGGCAAAAATTATGAAGTAACATGCAAGTTGTTTTGATGAATGGCATCTCGTAGAACGTGTGGCAACGTGACATCTCTCAGGTTTACGTAACAGGCAACTACCATGTTTGAGATCGACCTTGTTGAGTACCGATTAAGTTGAATATTCAAGATCAAGTTCGAGAATTATGTAAACCCGTTTTGATAAATACCAATGTTTAGATAAATGTAATTGCAGGACATTATTAACTTGTATTTAAATCTCTATGAATGTGTACGCAGAATTAATGTTTGACTAATGTCCTTAAATGTATTTACATAGAATTTCATTAAAGAATGTAATAAATTCAAGAGCGGGACTGAAAAAATTAAACTTGCTGTAAATTTTTGATTAGCTACATAATTTAGATAAAATTGTCATAATTAATTATAAAAATCCCTACCCTAATGAATACATTCGTGTTGAACTACAGAAAAGTTACACTTTTATAATTTTTTAAAGCGCCTAGTTTAAAAAAAGAGCAATCTTTTATTAGGGTAAAAAAGGTTGAGTAGAATTTTAAGTACGATATTACTTACAATGCTTTTCTTGCAATACAGCAATTTTATTTTCTTTAGGAATTTAAATCTTGATCAACTTCATGAAGAGATTGCAATTTTAGATTACTGTCGGAGCCGATAACACTCCGGCAAAGCTTACTGACCAGTTGTACTTCGATCTTGGAATCTTAAATATCTACCTCCTTTTTCTGCTTATCTTCTGTTTTTATTATTTTTTAACATTGTTATATTATTTTCAATTATTACTTTTATTATAAATAATTAGTTCACTGTCTGTTTTTGTTATCGACAGTCCATAATTGTCAATATGACTTTGACTTTGACACTGACGTCTTGACATTAACCTCAAATGAAAAATCAGAAAATAATGTTGTAAATTGAAAATTATGTAACAATAATTTAATAAGCTAAAATGCACTGTCCATGATTGTATTTCAAATACCTATATTTATTTTAGTATCAGGACGACAGATTAGTTTTCTAAGCATAATCGAAAAGAAAATACAGTGTATAGTCGAAATGGTTTTTAAAAATGTTACCCATGTTTTATTTGATTTGGACGGCTTACTTATAGGTAAATAAAGTTTTGTATTGTTTTATTGTTATCCAGAGATTTAGAATCATGATTATCTAAAAAATCCCACAATTACTCCTATAACCAGTATAATCAAATGTATTTTAAAATATTGATTATTTAGGGTTTATTAAAATAACATTTTCAGATATTTTTCCTAAATATTTATTACAGATTCAGAACGATTGTATACAGAAGGATTCTCAAATGTGTGTGCCAAGTTTGGTAAGAAGTTCACATGGGAACTAAAGAGAAGCATCCTGGGTTTCCAAGGTCATGAATGTGCAGAGAAAATAATTAAAACCTTAGAACTACCATTAACTGGGGAATCTTTTATGGAAGAATGTAGAAAAGAATATGAGAAAGTTTTTGTGAATGTTGAACTTATGCCAGGTAAATATCACACATTTTTAACTTATCAATCTTTGTGGAGTCTTATAATATAAAATAAAAAATCTTAAAGTCTATGACTATACCACCACCATTTTTCCATCTGTGTCCTACCACTGTTTTAGAACAATTCCCCAACTAAAGAATGTACAAGATCAATGCTCCTATGGTTAATGTTGAATCAAATGATAAACTGAATACCCTTATAAATTATAACATGGCTAAACTCACGTGATAACATTTGGTGTAGGCACCGACAGTTTCGAACCCGTTGGGGGTCCTTCTTCAGGGTGAGTGAGTGAGTTATCATGTGAGTTTAGCCGTGTTATAATTTATATAGTATAATGTCTCACAAAAGTTTTAATAAGTTAACTGAATGCCCTTTTTCATCTCACTCTTTCATTCTCTTAACTTGCTCATTATACATATTCCATCTTGGCAAATCCTATTTTGTTTTAAAGGTAAATTTTTAGTCATTTACCCATTTTAAAACCAAATTATCCTGGATTCAGTCAGTCTAAACAGTCAGTACTCAATTCTTGTACTAAATGTACAAATTGTGTTAGTAATACTCTCCAGGCTAAAAAAATTTGCATTTTAATTTATTAAGGAAAATAATTAAACAATCAGATTTAAATAATAACTTTACATGTCAAAAAAGTTTTAATATTTATTTTATTATGTCCTAACATTCATTGCCCATGTTTTTATAGGTGCACAGAAATTAGTAGAACACTTGCACAGTAAAGGTGTGCCCATAGCTCTAGCCACAAGCTCCGGACAAGATAGTGTTGATATGAAAATGCAACAGCATAAAGATTTCCTTAATAACTTCCACCATCTTACTATGGGTACAACTGATCCTGAAGTTACAAAAGGGAAACCTGATCCTGCTATATTTCTGGTTTGTGCATCAAAATTTCCTGACAAACCTGATCCAGAAAAAGTAAGTACAGTTATAAATTAAGATTAACTTAAAGATTTTTCCCTTGACTTCAAAATTAGTGTACTATCTTTTGATAATGTAGCTCATATAACAAAATAAATTTTACTTTATATTTCAAAGTTCATCATTTCTTTTATTGGTTTCTATTTGTTGAATTTATGAACTTTGATAATTATCATCGAAGGTACCATTTGTTTATAAAATTTTAACCATAATATGCTCATTTGTACCTATTCAGTTATCATACAATTGAACTGTATGATAACATTTTTATGCACAGTTCGACTATTTAGTTAAAACTGAACATCTGTAGCAAGCCTTGGTTTATAAACTAAATAACAGTAAAATAATAGTTCATCCATCTTTTAACCTATTGATAATTCTATTGAATATTTAATGTTTTTTTATTGTAGTGCTTAGTATTTGAGGACGCAGTGAATGGAATGAAAGCAGCATTAGCTGCCAACATGCAGGTTGTAGTTGTACCAGATCCACGAATTGACGGTGAAGAACTAAAAGATGCCACATTATGTTTAAAGTCCTTGGAAGATTTTCAACCAGAACTATTTGGATTGCCTCCATATGATTAGATTTGTACTTTTGCTACATTATTTTAAAACTTCCGTTTTAAGTTATGAAAAATTTTAACATTGGCATTTGATGATTTAAAAAAAAAGCTACCTCTTTCAGGCTACCATTTGTTCTTTAAAAGCTATTTAAAGGTCATTTAGAGTATGATCTATTTTTTTATATGTTTGCTACAATTAGTAATAAGGAAATTGACAGTTGTATGTATTAACTAGGAATAAGTTTTCACTACAGTATAAACAATTCCCTACCTCTTTTTTTGATCCTTCCAAAAACAGTATTAATGTTATAAGTGCTTAGAAATAAAAAATTCTTCACCCCTTAAAAAAAATTGTGTCCAACATTGGATATTTATAACCTCGAAAAGATCTTAGTAGCTCCTAGTTTCTAAGTTATTCTGGTTTTTATACCTTGAATGGAAATATAGTGATGTTACTTTTATTTTGTATATGATTAAGAATGAATGTGTAAAAAAATCATCTAAAAGGTGATACTGACTTGAAGTCAATATAATTTTTTTTTTGTAGACATCCTGTATTAAATATTGATTTAATTATCTGTGTAACAGTGTAGGTTTAATGTCCTTAAAAGGCAAAAAATTACTTAATTCAGTCACATTAGCATAAGTTTCTTGTATCAATTCTAGTCAGTGTTGGATGTCTGACAATAAAATATTTAATTGTGTCAGTTTTTTTTAATTTAAATAATTACTTCCTTCAAACAATCGAATAACTAAAATATTCACATTATATCTTATGGAATTTTCCAAATAGTTTTTTTCACTACGTAGTAATTAAATACAATGTTAATGTACATAAAATTTTATTGATGCATATTTTTTTACGATTTCCAAAGTTATATTTTTAAACCTTACTAAATGCAAGTTTTTATCTTAACTCAATACATAAGTAACTGCTGTTAAACAAATTTACGATTCATGTTTCGACATCGTGACTACAAAATTTGTCACGGTATTTATTGTTTATAGTTGTTTCTAGAAGTTAAAGAAAATAAGAGAGAAATTAAACACCAGTAAGTAGAATTGAAAACAAAATTAATAGTTTACATTACATTTTATAGCCAAGATTATTAAAATCCTGACATAAAGGCGCTGCATACTTCATTGTAATCTGCATAAAGAAATTACTGCTATATTTTCCGTAATATGGCAAGTATTTTTATATTACTTGACTTAATTATGACATGTATATACGTATATAGTGTTAAGAACAAAATTAGTACCATGCTGTAGAATTGGCGCAACAAAAACAAAGTATGGATAGATTGGCGCGCAACCTGAATCCTGACGAGAAGTGTTGCTCTGAGTTTAAAGCGACAGTATCAACTAAATTCTAAAAATAGATATATTAATTTATAAAATTCGAGATATATTAAATTACATCATCCGTCTTACAAGTCCATTTTTACATTTAATATTTTGAAAATCAGTTTGTAAGTTCAAAATATATTTTTTTTGCCAAATATGAGTGCTGAAAATATGTTTTGTACTGGTTTTATTACAATGGAGACACGATTACCAAGAAGATCAACCATAGGAACTAATTACAGATTGCGCTGTGTGTACTGCGGTAGACCAAAATGTTCCGGTACGAAATCCTCCATAGAGTTCAGTATGAGAGTTGCTTCTGGCGCAAGCGTCCGGTCAAGTCTCGGATCTGGTATCATAACGACTTGCATACCAGCGGAGTGAGCCGCTTTTACACCATTTATCGAATCTTCGAATACTAACACCTGGAAAGTACATTGATTTACAGTTGAAGACATTAATTTCCTACCCAACAACAATCATAGTTTCTTTGATGAATAGTTTGATGTGTTATGTAGTGTGAAAGTACAGATGGAAAAAAACAGTTTTTATTTCCCTTACGTGTTCCAGACATAGTTACCATTACCATTAAATATTATTTTATAGCAATATAACACGGTCACGTTACACGTAACGATAAGCCTAACTACATATACTAGTTACAATTTAGTACAAACTTTAATGATATAATTTAAAACCCTGTATATATAATGTACATTTATTTATATAGTAGATTATGTATTAGGAGTACAACATGTTATATACACGATAATACGTTTTTTTTATTCATATTTTAATATCAAACCTAGCAATGTTAACATTGTAAAAAAACTCAAAATAAACTTTTTTTTTTAATTGAATTCAGGAAGGCCCGTCTACCATCTTTAAGTTGTTTTAATTAATGTTTATTGCATCTTTACCTTTTCTGGAGCTGGTTTGTCTCGAAATTTGTCTGCAGCGACGAGAAATATATCCGGATAGGGCTTTCCTTTCTTAACTAAGGGGTCAGAAGAGCCCCATGTCTTGTACTCCAGCATATTAAATAGTTCTGAATGATTTTTTACTTTTAAATCATAAGTTTCTTTACTGCTACTCGTTGCTAGACCAATAGGAACGCCATTGTCATATAAATGTCGTATAAATCTTTCAACTCCTGGAAATGGTATTGTAATTTGTACCTTATTACAATAACACAAAATCGAAATTAAAATTACATACGAACGATGTTTAATTAATCTGTCTACCCTTTTACTGAACAGAAGGAACACTGATTTACTGTATAATAACACAATGTTACTGTCGATACAGAAAAATCTTGTTGTATACATCTATTCAATCCAAGTTCCAATTTTCACCGATGTGTAGGTAGACGCAACATCTGTCACATTTGAGACCATACTTTATGATGTTGGTTGTTTATTAGAGAATAATTTCACACCAACTCATATCAGAAATCCACACTTGAATTTTTTTTTTTTTACAGTTACAACACATAATCTAACCTGACGGTTACAAATATTTGTTCAACAAAAACCTATTCAAATTAATCGTACTACATTAAAAGTATTTTTTTTTTTACAAACCCGGCATAATTTTAGATTGAGGAAATAATTCTTCGTAAATGAATCGCGTCTCCTTCAAAAACTCATCGACGGTCAGAGGTAGGTCAAGGCCATTGATAATGGAGGCGGCAAATTCCCTCGTCTGTTGACCCATTATCCTACACTTCAAATCAAATGTAAACTCCTTGCCATATCTAGACGCGATCTTTTGAAAGCCTATCGTATATAAGTCTTCTGTATCTGAAATATTATATACGTTAACTTACTTTCCTTTAAAAAAAATCTTTTTTTTCTTGTACTTACTCAGTATCAGACCGTCCATATCAAATAAAACGTGAGTTACAGGTTTATAAATCATATTTATTAACAATAAATCAATAACACAAACTCACAAGCAAAACTATTGCGTAGATAATAAATAACTCTTTAGCAAAATTATATTAAGACTAAACAAGATGTGACATCACATCTCTATCTGATATCTTATCTATGGTTGTTAGTAAGTTCGCGGCTTTGAAGTGCGGGACATTTATTAATAGACAATGTGTTCATGTACGAAAATACACTACAAACTAAGTGGAACTTTTAATACAATAATACTTTAACTATCACTTGAAATTAAATTTACTAGTTATGTAAATATTTAAAACAAAACTTGTGTTTGTTAATCTCTATTTCAAATCTTTTAACAAAAACCCAAGTGGGTAGCAAACACTAGCAACTTTACACCAAAACTAGCAAATGTCTTGTATATTTACATGGAAATCTACTGTGTTAAATCTAGAAACTAACTAAATACTAAGTTTGCTGCTTAAAGTTTGCTCATTTACAGTACTTTTATATATTTTATAAAATAACCAAATTGTGCTATTTTTACATTAAATAAGGTCACAATAAATAGTACATATGTATAACAATGTAACAATCATTCTAAAATATGTAAAATATCACAAAATATATTTCACATGATCTAGAGACCAAATACTGAAACAAAACTTAAACACTTCGCTTTGTAAGTGATGTATACAATCTGGCAGACATCACAATTTTAATGAAATTTTAAACAGTTTTATCAATTATGACGATGTTACATATTTAAATATTGTTTCAGAATTCGGCCGTAATTACATCAAAATTTGTTCAACATTTAAGTACAAACATCAATGATAACTTATATGTAAAAATTTAAACAGTTACATTTATTCATATGGTGGTAATCCAAATAGTTGTGGTTGAAAATCTTCTAAGCTGTTGATGACCAAATTGGCTTCCTTTGTCAGATTCCTATCCATCCGAGGATCTGGTACCATCACCACCTGCATACCTGCAGCCCTTGCCGCTTTAACCCCATTAATTGCATCTTCAAATACTAAACACTGAAACAGACAGAATTACAGAATAAACAATCACTTAAAAGTTTTGTTTTTAAATCCTAATAAACTCATAAGGTATAACAAATTATTACAGCCACCAAAGTTTTTAATTTTAATTATAAATTCCCTTTTATATGGCTCTAGTTGAACCAGACATGTATTTCCCTAATATTATAAATGCGCAAAATTTGAAACTGGATGAAATTTGGCACAAATTTAGAAAATAGCCTAATTTTAAATTATATCAACTAAAACTATAATACTTTTATATCACCTGTTCAGGTTTTGGTACATCTGGAAATTTAGCTGCAGCAACTAAAAATATATCAGGATATGGCTTTCCTCTTTTTACTTCCGGATCTGATGACCCAAATGTTTTGTGTGGGAACAAGGAGAAAAGTGCAGAATGATGTTTATCCACTTTTAAATGGTAACCTTCCTCACTGGAACTTGTTGCTAGACCAATTGGAATATTTTGTTTATGGAAATGTTCTATCAATCTCTTAGCACCTACAACATATGTGTTTTATTAGATTTTGTATGTTTAAAAGTTCTAATTAAATTTAAAAATATAGTGACCTGGCATTAATTCTGTATCAGGAAACAATATTTGGAACTGCTTCTTAGTTTCAGTTATGAATTCGTCGACTGTCATCGGTAGATCAAGAGCCGTTATTAACATTTGGGCAGCCTCGTGCGCCTGAGTACCCATTAGTTTTAATTTCATTTCAAACGTGAATTCCTTTCCGTAGCGAGAGACTACATTTTGAAATGCTACTGTATATAGCTTTTCGGTATCTGAAAGCAGTCGAAGAACATTATAAAACAACAATATTCATTCAAGAAATATTACAAATTTAATTAAATACAACATACTTACTAAGTATAAGTCCATCCATATCAAAAAGTACATGAGTTACCGGATTAAAAACCATTTTTATTTATAAATATAACTCAATTATATTATATACAAGTTATTCACGGGGTAAATATTGGTGACTTGATCGTTATTTATTATTTATTTTTTGCGTGAAAATCAAAACATCTGACATCTGACAAATGTCTATCATGTCCCAACTGCCAACTTCCGTAATGTACTGGTAACATTTATAGCGAACGTGACCTTAAATAAGTTATTAAACTACTTTGTACTCGTAATAAAAATTATCAACAGCCAAAAACGAGTACTTAGGAGATTAGTATGTAATTTTCCATCCTTTTCTACAAATTAAAACATTACCCGGTCGCCGTACACCATCGTAAAAGTAGCAGAAGTACTAGAGAACTATGTATTTTTTTACAATGTACGTACAACGAACAATTTAGTCTGAGCTAGAGGAAACACGTATATCCCTTATCTTATATTTTACTCTTTTTATTCCTACACGAAATCAATAAAAGCTAAATAAAAATTAGACAACTTTGTGCCAACCTCCATCGGAATATGTAATCTTTATTGAGCAAAACTTGAAAAACCAAAATGTCAAATTGAGATCGAGTTTGACGCTGACGACTGATGACCGACGACTTCAAAAGTTACGAAAAGTGATAATCGAAAACATAAACAACATAAATAAACGCATTTTAAACGTATTAATTATCTATTAACAGTTTGTAGATTTAATTTATCCCTTAGCGATTGCAATGTAGACTTACACATTGTGTAAACATAAACAGGATTGAACTTTTGAAATGTCAATGTGAAAGCTTGAAAACAAAACAAACTTTTAAAGTTACATTTATTTTCTTCATAAAATGAAGTAAAACGTGTTAGTACAAAAGATAAACTTGCAGATATATTTATGTTAAGTCTTGTTTTGTATATCTAAGAAATGGAAGGCCCTGGTATGAGTTTGTTCCAAGGCGCGGCAAGTATTCACATAAACAACAGTGCACAAGACAGATTGGAAGAACAAGAGGAACTGGAAGACCAAAAACGTCGCAATGAGGAGGTAAAAAAAAATTGAATTCGAATATGTTTTCATACCATAGTGAGATACAATTTAGTAAATAAAACTTTTTGTGTTTTAAATTTCAGTTGAAACACAAACTGGCCAATGCTTTTGACGATTTATATGATGATGATGAAGCGAGTTCAGTAAACAGCAGTGGCAATTTCACATTAGATGCTACACATACTAATGGAGGTAAATATTTATAATTATGAATATCTATAAAAACTTCTAATTATAAAACTCCAATGTATGATTCATAAAATGTTAATAATCAATTTTTTTTCTCTTAGTGTTAAAAGTAATTTATCTTTATATTTGGTATTTCAGCCCAAGGTCAACCAAGGTCAGGCCTGCCTCCCACATATATTGAGTCTCTTAATCATCTCAAAGAAGCTAATGATTCTCCAAAGGGATTCTGTGACACACCAAAAAATCATTTAACTCATGCACATCACGAAGAGGGAATAAAGTCACCATATAGTCCCTATGGTGGTGGAGATGGGCAAAATCATTTTTTCCATCAAGATTATAGAGGTATGTTAGTCTACTTAGAAAACATATTAAAACTCCTTAATTGTTTTTTTTTTTAAAAACACATATTATAGCAATTACATTTCAATGCAATTAATAGCCTAGGACACTTTAATATATAAAAATAACATAAACCTTGAATCTGTTAACTGAAAATTTAACAGAGCTTTTGTACAGTGTTTTTAATAACTATTTTACGCAGGTCATCACAATGGGATAAACAACTTTGATGCAAGACAAGAGTACATGAATAATGAACAACTCAAGGTTATGTATGAGGTATCTATACTATCTATGTCTATGCTTCTATACTATTATTATAAAGCGTAAACACACACTTCTTTGTTGCCTAAGATGTCATCAATTACACCATATCTTTGAATAATTCCTTTTTTTAATATTATTATAATTTTCACACTTTAGGCTATTTTAACGCCATTAAACTTAGATGGTAAATTATTTGGATAAAAACCCTAATGTGGGAAAGAGACCATAAGTTACTGCCAACATCAAGGAAATAATATTGCCATACTTTATCATCATGTCATTTCTGTCATTTTGACATTTGCAATTGAATTTGACAAATATAATCAATAAAACAATTTTCATAATTTCAAGCGAATGAAGTCGCATGGGAACAGCTAGTTTATATATAAAACAGTTTTTGTTGTAATTTTAACAGTATAGTTTTACTAAGAATGTAAAATTTAAAAGCTGCAGCTGCATGTTCCGCTTGTCATCTGAAAATGTTCAAATGTTTCAACTTTAACGGGAACATCACTAAATTCCCTGATCTCCCCTTCCCATTCTCATTAGAAAAGAGTGGAAAGGTATATTATATTGTCTTTTGATGTTTACTTTTTACAGATGAGGCTGAAAGAATGTCAACAGTTAGCAACACAAGTAGAGAAGTCAGACACAGAGATTGAGAGCCTGCGTGCCCGGCTCGCAGCTGCTGTCAATGATAAGGATAAAGCTGAACTATCTCTTCAGGAAGCTCATCATTTGCTTGGTAATTATTATTTTTTTAATAGTTTTAAGGGCATAATATGTGTTAATTTTTATCATATTTTAATTTCACACGGACGAAGTCGCGAGCAACTGCTAGTATGTGATATATTGGTAGCTTAAGTCATAAGGTTACACAGCCAGTGAAGAATTATTTTGATAGACTTCTTTTTTATTTTTCATACAGAAACATTGAATAAATGATTACGGATAATTTGTATAAAAGTGAATTTGCCAGGTCATCGGTAGCTTAGAACATATTAAGTGTAGTATGGGATATATTATACTTATAGATACCGTAGAACCTCAATAACTTAAACCTCGATAACATAAAAACCTCTATAGCTTCTAAAAAGAATATGTTCCCTCCCCATCAGAGCCCAAAACCTCTATAACATAGACCCTTGATAACTTAAAACATTTTGAGCTTCCCTTGGACTTTAACTTATTGAGGTTCTACTGTATTACGTATTTATTAGCTGTAGTGACTTTATCTGACGGATTAAAAACACCAGGTTATGTAATATTATTCTAGAAGATATCTCTTTGAACTTTATGCAGATTCGTTCAGCTGTTTCGTAGTGTTAAGAAGAAAATTTATGGAGGATTAGCGCAACACTAGACCTAGACCATTGGCATATACATCCCATCCCTATTACATCTGTCAATGTCATTCAGACATATTAGAATAGCGCGCCATTTCTGACGGGAGGCTGTGGCCTGAGTGTTTAAGTTCATAATGTTACAATAATATTAATGTCTAACAAGTTATTTTATAAATATATCAACAGTTTTTTTCCCATTCCAGCATCAAGTAAGCACAAGTCGATAGAACTGGAACAACAGATGACAACACTGACTCAGAAGTTGGTGGAGAATGAACAAGAGAAGGAACAGTTGAGGTTAGAGCTGAGGTCCGCTAATATCAGCTTGCAAGATGTTCAGCAAAGACTACATACTTTACAGGTATTACTCACTAATATACATTTCTACTTGTTTGAGATGTTTATGGGCAGCAAATTCGTTTTAGCCAAAACAGATAGATGCTTAATCTTTTTCCATCTTTGACAAAAAATGTATTCTTCCAGACTATCCAATATCAAATTTAAATAAAATTTGTTTAGCAAATTAGGCTACGAACTCTGAAAAACATCCATCCATCCAAACTCTTGCATTTATAATATTAGTAAGAGTAGTAGGCTATTGTTGTTTTAAGATAATATATTAGAGTTTGATAAAATATGTTTTTATTACAAATGTGAATGTTTAGATGGATGGATGTTGTTTTGAAGGTATCTCCGAAACGGGTCTAGATGAAACTTGGCACTGATATAAGAACATATAGGCTACTCACTATGTTTTTTTTTAATTTCATTTGGACAGAGTTACCGGTGGAAGTTAATACTTATATAATTTATAAATACTGTTGTACTTTCAGGTGGCTCACACACATGATACAGATGCCCTATTTAGGGAGCAGCAAGATAGGTCAGTTAAAGTTTTTTTTCTAATACTTTCATATACAAATACACTGTTATCTCATCAATTATCTTTACAAAGATAGAGATGAAAACAGACATTTACGTTTCTAACAAGCTAATTGTATATTATATTATGTTTTTTAGACATCGAGAAGAAGTAGACAGACTTCAAAATGATTTGATGAAAGCTAAATCAAGACTTGATGAAAAAGTAAGCATTTATTTTACTTTTATTTCCTGCAAAATTTGCGAATATAATGCGTATTTTGCTTGTTTTACCATTTAACAGTGGTACGCAAGTTGTGAAGTGGAAGCAATTCTGCGTGCAATCTGATGTGTTTGCCGAAGGTCTTATTTTATTCCTCTACCTCTTACCACCCTTTTTCTACGAAGATATTGACTTAACCCCTAATTCCATTAAATATATAATTCTCTGATTGTAAGCGCTATTACAAAAGAAGTGTTTAAGATTCATTTTAATATTCAGTCATTATTACAGTGAGGGTTTTTTATTTTTAATGAGCTTTCCCATGCTAGTCTGTCCGCGTGGAATCAAAAAAAAACGGAAGTGAATAGACTATGGGTTCTTCCAGACTGTCCTCTACATTTATGCCAAATTTAATCAAAATCCATTCAGCCGTTAAGTCTGCAAACTCTAATAAACATCCATCCATCTGAACTTTCGCATTTATATTATTAGTATGATTAACAGAGTTATTATTTTTAGGAAAATGAAATAAAACTCCTCGAGAAACGTTGTATGGAGAAGGATAGAGAGAAAGAAGAGATATTGATAGAGAAGGGAGGGACTATAAACCGACTGGCTGGAGAGCTGGAGGCGGCTCAGAACAGACTGGTGAGTGGAGAGGGAGCCAGACTGAAGGAGAAAGTACTGCAGTTGACGACGGAGAGGAATACAGCAAGAGAACAAGTGAAGGAACTTGGTGTAAGTTAGAAAACCGGTTATAACTGGATATCGATTTGGATAAAAATTGTATTGCAACATTGTTTGGAACTTACAAATCATACAGACATACTAGTGGGTACCATTGCTAGAAAATACTAATCTCAGTATTTTTTTTTAATTGATCATGAAATTACGTTATTGTGTGAAGAATTTCTCAATATTTAATTCAAGCTAACTTTTTGCTATAAAATGCAACAATGAAGTGTTTCAAAAAGTTTTTGTTCATGTGTTTTTTTTTATTTTCTAGTCAAAATTGGAGCTAACAGCGCACGAACTTGTGCTGTGTCGCAATAAATTAGCCAACAGTCAGAAGGAATATGAGAACTGGAGAACAACTCTCAACCAGATTCTAATGGAGTCACTTCCTGATAATTCAATGAAAATTGGTAAATATGGAAAAGTATTTTTCTAGTATATACAGTCGCATGGGCATCGACAGCTGTTGATTTAAGGGGGAAAGATTCAAATAGAATGCTCTTATGAAAAACTGACAAGTTTCTTGGTTCTTGGGGTTGTAGGGACCTTAGTGTTTTAAATTCAATTTATATTTTCAATTCAATTTATAATTGTAGTTTCTTTAGTCTGGA